GGGTTGTGGATGATGATTCGCCGCACCCAGGATTTGGCGACTAGGTCCCCTAAAACCTTAGTCGCCCTTTAAAAAAGGGGAGTATATAAGTTATTTCTTCCAATTCCCTAGTGTGCCTTCGTGGTGTAACGGTAGCACGTTGGGCCGGTATTCCAGAGGACGGTGTTTCGATTCCCGGCGAAGGTGGTTGCATATTTTTCATCTTTTCTGCTTCCAATTAACCTAGTGACTCTACAGCTTTAATTGCGAATTAGAAGTTAAAGATGGTGTATTTATGGTGTATTTAATTATGGCAAAGCACACGAGGGCTATCTGCCTAAGGGGAGGGATGCCTTTCGTGGAGGACTTTCTAAGGGAAACTGGCTCGTATACACGTTACACATGGGGAAAACCACGAAAACGCCCATGCAGCCAGCTCGTTCGCGGGATTCGAACCTCGGACCGAACTACCAGTGTTCAGCGACTTTACCGCTCGGCCGCTGGTGGGCCAGAAGTTAAAGATGAAAATAAAATTTGTGTTTCTATTACTAAGTTAAATGATTCGCATTGCTTAAACCAATAAAAAGATCTTAGTATTTTAATAAGTGATACGGCTATAAATGATAAATCTTGTTAATATGAAAGTAATTCGGATGAAATACATTTGCACATTAGAGCTGATTATGCGGGAGAGTTATTAACGGGGAATATAAAACATCTTTCAGGAGGTTTATTTGCCGTTCATACTCTTTTGAGGTGGACAGTAATGAGTAAATATGAGACTATGCTTTCGCAAATAATGCAGTGCTAGTATTTTCACTTCACCTGAATAACGCAAAGATTGAAGATCCCTGGAATTTAGATTCTATGGGTATTAAAGACAGCGGAGAAAAACGCCCTAAAATAGAAACTCAAGACCTGGCTTTGAAACATTTCAGGGAAACTTTTAGCAGAGATCGTAGCGGCAGATACATGGTTCATTTACCCTGGTTACAAGGACATCCTCCTTTACCCGATAATAAATACTTCGCCTAAAAAAGCACAGTGAAATCTCTTAAATCAGAGAATCGATTAAATGAATATAAAGAAGTTTTCAATCAATGTTAAAAAGATGGTATCGTTAACAAAGTTGATCAGGATAAATTGAAGGAAAAGTTGGGTATACATTATTTGCCACATAGAGTGATATTTAATGAGAAATCTATCACTAGAGTTCGTCCTGTATTTGATGGTTCTGCTAGAGCTGCTAGCTCCGTATCATTGAATGAATACATCGAAAATGGTCCCAATCTAATTGAGATGATTCTGACAATTTTAAATCAGTTTAGGTGGGAAAATATCGGAGTTGTTGCAGACATCAAGTAAGCTACTTACCATTAAGCCTAAGCGGAAACGATAGAGATGTTTTACGGTTTATGTGTTGTAAAGGTGGAGATCCCCAACAGTTAATCACCTACAGATATTGCAGAGTCGTATTCGGTATTTCAAGTAGCCAATTTTTACTTGCAGCTGTTTTGAATCATGTTCTAGATGAAGTAGAAAAGCCTTTGAAAAGACTTGCAATGAAACTGAACGATTCATTTTATGTGGATAGGTGTGTTGCAAGTATTGACTCTGTTGCTGACTTAGAATATTTCAAAAAAGAGTCTCAAAAAATTCTAAAAGCAGCTAAATTTGACTTACGTGGATAAAGAAGTAATTATCTTCTTAAAATACAAGATTCCCTTATAGATAGCTCAGCTTATATAGATGAAAAAGATGTATCGGTTTTAGGTCTCACATGGGATACCAAGAATAACACTCTGTCATGCCAACTGATAGAAACTGGGAAGAACAATGAATCGATTACTAAACGAAAATTTTTGTTTAAAGCACATCAATTATTTGATCCCATAGGTTTCACTTCCCCGATAACGTTAATTCCTAAACTGCCTCTTCAAGACTGCTGGAAGTTGGGAATCTCATGAGATTATAAATTACCGGAAGATTTAATTAAAAGATTTGAAAAAATGGAAAGATAGGTTGCCAGAAATTAAAAACCTCAAGATACCTAGCAAACTATCTGATACAGACCTTAGTAAATCCGACATAACGCTGCATAAATTTTGTGACGCGTCTATGTTTGCATATGCGATTTGTATTTTTCTTTGAGCTGAAACGGAGAGAAAAGTAACTTGTCAATCAATACAAGCTAGATCAAGAGAATTACTCCTTTGAAGCTACTATCGATTCCGAGGATGCAATTGCCAGCATGTCTTATTGGGGCTAGATTAACTAATATAGTGAAGAAAGATTTGCAGTTAAAAAATATTCAGTCAGTCTACTGGTCCGATTCTATGGACATACTGTATTGGATCCAAAGAGAAGTCTCTTGGCAAACGTTTGTATCTAAATGTGTAAATGAAATTATAACTTTATCAGAATCCAAAGAATGAAAGCTTGTTCCTGGAACACAAAATCCTGCAGATATACCATCAAGATGTTGCTTAATAAAAGACTTACTAAAGCAAGAATGGCACGAAGGACCTCCCTGGCTTAGAGATTCTAAAGATAAATGGCCGGTTTATGATCTGTCACCTGACGAAGATGTGGTAAATGTAGAAAAGAAGAAAACTATAGTGTCTCACATGAATCAAAGTAATGATAATTATTATAACCATATATCTTCCTATAAGAAAATAATTATAACTACTAGGTGGATATTGCGCGCGTACGGGTTCGTAATAGATTGAATGCACAAGTGCGATAAAAAGTTAATAAAATTTATTCTTATCACAAGAAATGGAACAAAACGCTAGATTTTTCTCAAAGATATTCGTACAGTATCACAATATTACACGATATCACACAGTAATTATATTTTAAACTAATAAAACGTTAAATAGAACGCAATCCAAAGCGCAGAGAAAGCTAATCCGATTTCAAAATTACAGCAGATAAGTAAACAACAACTGAGCTGAGATGTTCTCTCTCTGACTTTTACAGCTTTTTAAATCGGACGCACGAGTTCTAGCAATTTCTTTAAAGCAAAAAGCATAGAATTACGGTTACAGTTACACTCTTATGACTCCACTCACTGATCATACATTATGTTGCATTGATGTGTACAAATGTGATAACACTGACCCTTGCTCTCCTACACTCTTTCGCATATGGAGACACGTATAGATAGGTGTCTGCACATGCATCAGTCGGTAAATGCGATACAATCGCGCAGCCACCCTGCATTGCCTATTCAGAAGAAAATGCCGTGTAGAGAATTTAATCAGATTAACCATAGTATATTACATAAACATTTCTTGTAGCTATCTATAAATTATATACAGATTTATAAACTTACATTTCAAGAGTTATGAAAGGGAAATACATGTCCTGACGAAATTTTGAGATCATTTCCTCCGATATTTCTAAGACTGTAATAAACATAACTTCTAAAACTGGTGAATTTTAAATTTTTATGACTTACATTTTATAATTTTATTTATTTTTTAATATATATAAATGCATAATAACTAAGTAATGAATATGCTTAATGTTAATTCCAATTCATTAATATAGATATTTTTTAAATTCCATGTTTAACAGCATGAGCTTTGTTACGACCTTCATTGTGTCACTGTGCGCCAAAAGAGGACGGTGTTGTTATTCATAAAACACTAAAAATAACTCATTTCTACTTTTAAATAAACGAAGTTTTTTTGGAACTTTGATTTTTTATTTCAAAGATGTTGCAACACGCGATTAATTTTACGATAACTGTGTTCTAAAGATATAATGCTATGTTGTTTTTTCACTTTTGTATGTTAGAGCAAAGCAAACCCTTGCACAAAGAGGTGACCATCGAGTGTCAGAAGTGGGATAAGGTGAGACAAGCTAAGGTAATCATGCGTACTGTCAACATTTTGTATAAAAAATTGTGTAGCGATGTGGAGATGCATGTTGGGTGGAAGTGAAGACAGATGGTTTCATTGTTTAGATTGTGGTGAGTAGTAATTTCGGATTTTGAAATAATGTTTAGTTGTTAAATAATATTTGTTAGTGTAGTGTATTGAGGTGTTCTTACTAGATAATTTGAGTTGATAGTGTCTGTGTTGAGTCTAATTTTTTTTTTTTTTGTGCGCATTGTTTTCTAATTGTAAATTTAGAGTTGTTATATTTTTTTTGTTAGAAAATTAAGATGAGCTTGAACTCGCTAAGTCAATAAAAATGAGTTGACGCTCCTGGCGGAGGAATTAGGATTAATAATTCCGAGTGGTGCGAAAATAATTACTTTTAAAACTTTAATAGAAAGTTTAGAAAATTATGCAAGTGATGCTGAATTCGGGCAAAATGTTATTGATAATATTCTAAAGGAAAAGAAAATGCAGACTGAGAAATAAAAATCAGAGAACGAAAATTAGATTAGAGTTAGAGAAAATAAAACTCTGTCAGTTAGAGGCGGAGTTAGCTTTAATTAACACTAGGAAAGACTTGCCACAAAATCAAAATGGTCAGATGGACATCTCAAATCGAAATATGGAAAATATAATTAAAAGTTTAAAAATTAACAATTTCGATATCTATTAAAGAAGAGTCCTTTAATCTCTTTTTCCAGTCAACTGGAAAGAGCTTCTAGGACAAAACAAGTACCCGAAGAATTAAAAGCAGAAATCTATTATATATTTTGGAAAAGAAGGTCACTAAATTTATGGTATATGTGAAAGAAGAAGACATTAATAATTACGATAAATTAAAGCCTAAGATTTTAAAGGAACTTCTGCCAACCCCTCAAGAGTGCTTAAATTATTTTCGTTCTAAACAAAAATTGCCATCTGAGAACTTTTTACGCATGGCATCAAGGTTAAGTGTACATTTTGAATGTTACTGTCAATTGAGAAAAGTAAAAGATTTTAAATAATTATGTGATCTGATGGTTTTAGATAAAATATTCAGTGAACATGATTGTGAATTAAAGACCCATATAGCAGTTAAAAATGGAGAGATATGGTTGTAGAGTCATAAAGTGTGTGAAAAATGGGCAACGCCTTCGCCTGGAATCGAACCACGGACCTCTGGAATACGAGTCCAGCGTGCTGACTACTACACTACGAAGGCAGGCTACGATGCGGGGAAATTACCTTATATACTCCCCTTTAAAAGGCGATGGTGTTAGAGGGACCAAACGCCAGATCTGGTGTTAAGAATATCATCCACCCCCTTTTATTCGGGGCTCCATTGTGAGCAGAGGTGTTTTTTGGGTGTGTGAAAAGAGCGACGCTCGCCGGTAATCGAACCAAGGCCTCGAAAATACGCACCAGCGTGCGAACTAACTACGAAGGCATGCTAAAAGGTGGGGGAGATACCTTATACAATTGCTCCCCAACTTTGGTCTCCTGTGCGCTATTCACTTCAGTATTACGTTCGCTCGTTGGATAAAAGCAAAATTCAATGCAATAACGCGCATTTTATGCGATATGGCTTCGAAGAAGTGTTGTACAAAGTCCCTTTGCAAACTCTATAAGTATTTCTCCCGCTTCTTAGCATGCTTGGGTGTATAGTGACGCCACGCGTATTCGGAGCCCATGTCGAGTCCCGGCGAGGCATTGCTCATTTTTCATCACTCCTCTTCGAAATAACCTAATGTCTCTACAGTGGCGCCCGAACTAAAAAAAGGTGGTGGGTGATGATTCTCCAACACCAGGCTATGGCGACTGAGTATCCTAATCCCCAGTCTCCATTTAAAAGAGGGAGTATATAAGGTATTTCTCCGGCCTTCTTAGCATGCCTTCGTGGTGTAATAGTCAGCACACTCGACGCGTATTCGAGAGGTCCGAGGTTCGAGTCCCGACGAGGGTATTGCAAATTTTTCATGTCTTCTGCTTCCAAATAACCCAATGTCTCTACAACTGCTTAGAAAGGAAAGGTTGTAGTTTTCTCCTTTGGTTCAGCAAAGCCTACCGAGGAATTACATGAAGTAGTAGAACTCAAATTATCCAGTAGATATAAACCCCAATCAATGTATTCAAATTGAGATGCTAGTGGCCGACACTATTATAGCGGCATCTGTTTCTGTTTGTTCCAAATGAAGAAGCACGAAATATGATGCAGTACCGCGGATTAGTTTTAGCTGACTGTTATGAAAATAATATAAATACTGAGATATTAATTGCCGCAGATGTGTTTTAGCAGATTATTGAAGCCTCTTCTTTTGAAAAAATAGACCAAGGAATTACTTATGTGCCAACGATTTTCGGGTTTGCTTTATCGAAAAGTAAAGATGTTCACAAGCCAAATGTTAAGGCTGCAGTTTCAAAGAATTTTTGTGTAACTGCTTCAAATGTTCAAGTATTTTGGCAGCTCGATGCTTTAGGAATGAAAGGAAAAGAAGAGTTAAATGTAGTTAATAAAGCGTTGATAGATGCATTTGAGAAAAATTTAAAATTCGTGAATGAGAGATATGAAACTGATTTATCATGGAAGATGAGCTACAATGAATTAGGAAATAATCATTTTTCAATTAAAGCGCAGTTTAATGAGTTAAGAAAGGATTTTTTTAAAAATGATTGGGTTGTTAATGAGTATAAGGAAATAATAAGTGACAAAAAACAAAATGGAGTTATTGAGGAATGTGAGAGAGATGAACAAGAATATTTTATGCCTCATTAGAGCAATTGTTAGGGGAGATAAGGAAACAACCAAAGCTCGGATAGTCTTTAATTGTAGTTCAAAATCTAAAGGTAATCTTTCTCTGAACGATTGTTTGAAAGCTGGTCCAAATTTAAATCCAAATATTCTTAATAAAATTTCATAATTACGAAATAGCATTCAATGGTGATAAAGAGAAGTTCTCTGAACGATTGTGATATAATGAAGGTGATATCTTCAATGGTGATATAAGGAAGGCTTTTTTAATGATAAAAATTTCTAAAAGAGATAGAAAGTTCTTAAAAATGTTTTGGTATTCAGATAACCCTAGTGAAGAATATGAAATTATGAAAATGAAAAGACTACCATACATTTTTCACTTCGAGTACTACGACAAAAATATATAATCATATAAAAAATTTGAGAGAAGTAAACCCAAGTGATTTGAAATGTTGAATTCAGCACTTTACGTAGACGATTTATATTATGGCGAAAACAGTGTAAGTGAGTCATTTGAGTTGTCATCGGATGCTGTATCAATGTTAAGGAGTGTTGTATTTAATTTGAGGAAACTGAAATTGAACAATTCAGAATTAGAAAAACTGTAGATAGAAAATGAACTGAAAGACGGTGAGACAGTGGGGGTTCAACAGTTGAAAGTCTTCGGGTTCAACCGGAATCCTGATGAGTTGTCGTTGGAGGCGAATGGTTTAGTGGATTCCTGAAAAACATTGCGAAACAGTAAAAGATGTGTTTTACAGAGAGCGACAAGAAGCTTTGATCCTATTAATTTGATTGCGCCATTTATGATACGTGTAAAGTTATTGTTACAGGAAATTTGCGAGAGAGCGTGTGCTTGGGATTGTCGGAAGACTTGGGCCAAAAGTGGTTAACGTGGTGTAGGAAAACCTGAAAACTAATAGATGTTAATATTCCTAGATACTGTATTCTGGATTATAAGAATGAGCAAACGGTGGTAAATGTGTTTTGCGATGCTTCACCGAGTGCTTATGGAACAGTTACTTATTTCAGATATTGTGAGAATAATGAAAATTACAGAATGTCCTTTATAGAAGAATAAAGTATCATCGTTAAAGAAACTAATGCTGGTGCGGTTGGAGCTAATGGCCGTGGTGATAGGTGCTAGAGTGGGAAATTGCCTTAAAAAGTGGTTTCAAGGATAAAACTGGAAGAATAGTGTTTTGGAGAGATTTTTGTATTGCATTGCATTGGGTGAAGAAAGAGAAGTGCGAAGAAATGGAAACAATTCATAGCCAAACGGGTTATGGAAATTCAAGGAACGATCGAGTCCAAGTGATTGTCCTTCTGAGGATAATCCCGAAGATTTGCTTACTAGAGAAATCTCAGCTGAGACGTAGGTATTTAATGAAAAATGGTGGTCAGGTTCAATTTAGCTTCGGAAAAGAAAAGAGTTGCCCTGAATAATGGGTTAGAGGGTTACCAAATGTAGACAGTGTTGAAATACTAAGCAAAAATAAGAATTCGGTTAAAAGTTTTGTAGTTCGATCGGAATTAGTTGAGCAACTTTGGACAAAATTTTCAGTTTGGAGGAAATTGCAGAGAGCTGTCGCTTGGTGTTTAAGGTTTATCAGAAATGTGAAGGGGTAATAGGATTTTGACTCCCTTCTTAGAAAAAAATGAACTAAAAGAAGCGCATGATATTATAATCAAACCAGTCCAAAGAACGGACTATAAAAAGGAAATAGTTTAAAGAATGCGAGAGTTTTAAAGAAGAGTTCTTTAATTTCTCTAAATCCGTTCTTAGACAATAGTGGCTTACTACATGTGGGAGAATGTTTAAGAAATGCCAGCTTACCAGAGTCTGTGAAACATCAGATAATACTGCCTAAGAGTCATCCCGCTACAAAATTTTTAGTGAAATTTGATCATGTTAGTAATATGCATGGAAGAGTATAATTAGTTAACTCAGCGATGAAACAAAAATCTTGGATTATAGAAGCAAAAGCTGCAATACGCAGAGAAGTTCCAGATTTTGCTCTGAGTTTTCGAAACAAATAATGGCCGACTTACCTTCTGCGAGATTGAATCCCAGAAGAACATTTCTTAGATCAGGTTTTGAATTATTGTCTTGTTTCTAATTTGTATTTTTTATTTTTACATTCAACATTTAACAGTATTTAATAAAATATCTTTCTGCTTACCTTATAAGGTATTTCTCCCGCCTTCTTAGCATGCTTCCGTGGTGTGGTGGTCTGCACGCTGGGCGCGTATTCCAGAGGTCCGCGGTTCGATTCCCGTCTAGGGCGTTATTAACTTTTCATCACTCCTGCTTTCATAAAAATATCCTAATGTCTCTGCAGTGACGCCCGAACTAAAAGGGTGGTGGATGATGATTCTCCACACCCAGGATTTGGCGACTGGGTTCCCTAAAAGCCCCAGTCGCCCTTTAAAAGAGGGAGTATATAAGATATTTCTCCAGATTTTTTAGCATGCCTTCGTGGTGGGGTGGTCTGCACGCTGGACGTGTATTACAGAGGTCCGCGGTTCGATTCCAGGCGAGGGCGTTGCTCATTTTTCATCACTCCTGCCTCCATAAAAATATTCTAATGTCTCTGCAACCTTTCCTTGAAGAAATCCACAGGATACTTGGAAGTTTTACCATTTTATCACATGCATCACACGGTAATGCGAGTGTCAGATTAGTCAGAACGTATTTCACTATTGAGTGTGCCCGGTGTTGTTTCTACCAGCTGTTTTAATTCTCAATGTCCGTTTTGCATTCTTTCCGCAGACGTTACTGTCACGCCAGTGTAGGTTGAGTCAACTGCTAGATTAAATTAATTTGTGTAGTCTTGAACTACTAGATTATCTAAATTTAGTTTAATTTACCATTATGTTTAGTTTGTTGCCACAAGTGGATAATGGATTTTTTAAGCACAAAATTTTGCCGTCTAAATAACTGAGTTCAATAAAAGGGTCTTTCGCACCCTTCTCCTCTTCTACTAATCTTGTAGACTTAGCAATAATGACTAGACTAACAAACTTTTAAGTAAGTTTAGTATCAGTTTATGCTAGCCTAGACGTTACATATCTGTACAGTGATTAATACAGAAAGGGGGAGAGAATTCTAATAATTTAATACATTTCATTACTCAGTCATTATTCAAACATACGCATATAGATATCAGAAGAGCAAATAAGAGTAAGTGAGGTGGATTTAGATCACTGTTTGAATATATTAGATTGTTTATACATTTTTGTTCATTTCTAACAAGCCTTTATTTAATAGGAGGGAAAAAAACCAGAAATACTACATAATAATTAATATTTATTCTATTTATTGAATGGATCTAAAATTCTGTAGGAAGGCGCTACATTACATGAATATTCAAGTAGAATTTTTTAGTTGTAAGAAATATATTAAAATAAAATTTTGTATAGTTAAGATATTTAAAAATGCAGCCGTGTTCATAGTCTCGATTTTACACCGTGTTGGTAGTACGCCTGTGACAAATGTGCATTAATTCTCTTACTTTTTATTATATCATTACCAAATTTTCTGTTTTTTTATCATGTCGATTGTACGCTAGTAACCGAGGTTGATGTCGATTCTACGCTACTTCATTCCTGAGCAGTATCGATCCTGTGAATGTGATACGTCGCAAATAAGAATAAATATTGGAAGTTTATAAAAACAGCTATTTAAATTATAAAAATAGTTATTTTCTAATGTGTAATACATTGCTTGTAATTTTACAATCAATTGTTGCATTTGGAATACTAGTAAGTCTAGGCAGATAGTCCTAGAGTTTTTTCTTTGGTTTATCAACTAAACCAAATCAAAGCAAATCTAAAGTTTACCAGATGTAGTTAAGTAACTTGTTTTAGTTTTAATATTCAAGAAACTATTACATTTACATGAATCTGGAATGCATCTGCATTATGTCCAACTCAGTTCTTTTAACAGCGGGTTAAAATTCAAAATGCTAACGCCCATTTCACGCACTACATGTTGCGCAATTCTTGATCAATGTATTAACGAAAATACCGGGTGTCTAAATTTAATGTTGCTTGTGCTATTGCCAGCGATATTATACATACAGAAATTTTGTCTCTTCTTTTTTTTTATTTCACCAAATCAGAAATATAGCAGAATCTAGTTGATCTTCTTCAGAAACGAAAGCTGTAATGCTTTGAAGAATGTCCAGATCATGTTAACTGTTCGTTTTCTGGGGCACTGCGGCGCGCGAAATGGACTCCTTCATTGACTCTGTGGGTTTCGGTTACCAATAAACGAACTAGATTTATATATTTCCGTGGTCTTCTACTTGTGCTGAAAGTCAACATGAACCTATTACTTTTGGGAAATCTTTCATGAAGACATTCCTCCTCCTAGGCAAATTTTCGCCGTGGGCTATCGCTTAATTAGCTGATCAAACAAACTTAGTTTCAAGAAGCTTGAAACTTAACCGCATTGGATTTCTTCTTTTTGGAATCATATGAAAATACCCATCTGAAGGAAAAGATTCATAATCTTATTATATATGAATATTTAATTATTGCTGCAACTGGCATGAAACCTCTGATATTATTGCTTTCAGAATGAATGTTCAATTCTGGTATCATTGTTTTGGTGTTAAATACCTGTGCGACATGCAACATGGTGTAACTCTGGACAGGAAAAGGTACTATTTTTTCATAATACATATCTTTAATTGTAATAAAAATACATCACAACATATCATGGAACTTTTGTTATTCGATAAACTAAGCCAAATACTACTGTTATTAATTTAAGTAACCACTACTTATCACCATCATTAATGTCAGAAATAACTGCAGCTTTAAATATCTTGGTAAGTGCAATTATTCCTCGAGGCATAAAATTTTAAATCCAAGGATCAGTTTACAAATTTATCTCTATTATTTACGTATACATTTATTTGTCACAATATCAGCTAAGAAAATTAATGATAAACTTCTGTATCATACATAATTACAACTGCGCTTTTTGGCAAAAACTAGTTATTTATGTTCCACAGCGTTGTATTAACAATCCAATGTTGTCTTGACAAGGTCTGTGCTATTTCTTAAGACTGAAATTTATTTTTTTTTCGGTGCTATCAGAGTATCCGAGAACTATCTGAAGTATCTTCAACTACGTTTCCATTAGTGTTCGATGCAGTATTGGGGACACGACAATATTCAGAAAAATCCATAATTTCGGACAGCATTACGTGAGGAAGGAGCCTGTATACAAAAAATTAAAGTCTGCTTAGTATTTAATAAATAATAACAGTAATAATAAAAACGGTGCTACTTTGGTAGACGGTTGTACGGATTTTTGGCGATTTACTTTGGCGCAATTGTTGGCGCGGTTTTAACAATCGTCAGCCATCTTGAAAAACGCTGTTTTTACGTATATTTTGCCCATAGTAAGTATTCGAAATTTTAAAAAATAAGTATTGTTAAAAATAATTGATAATTTTTTTAAAAACGTTGTTTTTTAAAATGGCAGGCAAATGTAAATAATACATTTACTACGAGTATAAAAAGTAAGGTTAATTATTACTTTCATATGCAATGAAATAGAATAAAAAACCACTATAAAACATAAGCTAACGTTATTGATTAAATATTACTTAAACTGAATATCGAATTAAAAGCCATCATACCAACGTTTACAAGAACTAAAATATTACTTAAATTCAAATACTTTAAAATAAGTAAATAAGAAACGCTTCGTATACTACACTAGAGCTAAAATGACAGCAATTAGAAAGTTTACTGCCGGTAAAAAAGGATGGAATGTCTAATACTTTATTTTTACCGTTACAGCAGTTATTTCTTCCACCGTGAACCACAATAGTTTACTCCGGTAAAAAGGAGGAATGTCTAATACTTTCTTTACGTTACAGCGGTTATTTCTCCACCGTGAACCACAATAGTTTACCGGTAAAAAAGGAGGACTCTAATACTTTCTTACCGTACAGCGGTACGTGAACCACAATACCACATACGCCGTCCTCAGAATCGGCTCTTTTAACGATCTTCATCTGTGACCACATTTTTGCCCTTCACTGGAGCGAGATTCCTTCAAAAATTTTAAATAATTTCCTCTGACCTTGTAACACTTATAAATAAATCTTTGATTAGGAAAGCCAGGTTGGGCAAATAAGGTCTCAAAGGACAATTTTTTGATTCCGATACCAAAAATTCTTGGTGCTTAACAATAAGAACATTAATCTTTTGAAAGAGACATATCCGTTTCCTATGAAATATAAGGATTCGAAGAGATGATAATACAATTTTAAAATGGCGCGTATGCACAAATATTCAATAACCAATCAGGAGCTGATTACATCACGCATAGAATTAAAATTATTTAAATAATACATAATAACATCATTTTTTTTTTTTTTTTTTTTTTGGTTTTTTTTTTTTTTTTTTTTTTTTTTTTTTTTTTTTTTTTTTTTTGTTTTTTTTTTTTTTTTTTTTAAAAAAAATGCAAAATTAATTGTATTTTAATATTTAACAGCCATAAATAATGTTTAAAACATTAGATCAAATTTATAGATATTAAAACCAATTACTTTTAAATGAATGAATAAATATAATAATGAATGTGACGTCATTCATTACATCATCCACAACATAAAATACATAAAAAAATAAATTTTTATTTCAAATAAAATGCAAAATTAAATGATTTTTAATATTTAGAAGCATAATAATATTTAAAACACGGAAGTTATGCATAATAAACGCATTATTTTTTAAATAAAATGACAACAAAAGTATTGGTTACCATAAAAACTTGTTACCAATGGGTTACCATAAGTCGTATCGCTCGCCAAAAAAAAAAAAAAAAAAAAAAAAAATCGCCAAAATCCGTGCAACCGTCTACCAAAGTAGCACCATAAAAACATTAATCGTCAATAACTGAATTAATTGCCATTACAAATAATGAAAGCACTTTTCTGTTAACGGGACACCACGTAGCGCCAAACGTAAACGATGGCGCGAAACCTAACTAGATGGCGGCAGCTCTACGGTATATAATAAGTTTACGATACATACGCTCTAACGATACATAATAAACGATACATAATAACGATACATAATAAAGATACATAATAAAGATACATAATAAACGATACATAATAACGATACATAATAACGATACATAATAAGCAACTATACATAAGTTTTATGAAAAGAATGCTCATTTTATGAATAATTAATATAACACATGCCATGTTAATGTAAAATGGAAGCAATATTAAGGTCGTGTGTATTGCAGAATATTTGCAATTTTCTGATGTTTTTTAAGCAAAACATAAGAGAATTTTGCACAAGGTCGTCATCGCACACAATTTCGGTATTGACATATATTAAACATCATATATGTTATCATTACAAAACTTTTCACTACTCAGTGTAAGTAGGATATCACATTTCGCGCACATTTAGCGACTTTAGGAAACTACCATAGCTAATAAAAACATTTATAGAAACTCCTTAAAGAACTTTCCGAGAGCTTCCAAGGTTGTGATCTCAGTTAAAACAAGTAATATAATTTTTTTCAAGTAAATTCCTACTTAAGTCAACAAAGAAAATTTTTATTTTAGTTACTTTTTATTAACATTATTAACATTTTTCAAATGTTTGACCTGCTGCTATTTTACTTTCTCTAATTGTCGCTTGCGTTGTATTGTTGTTTCTTTCGCTTTCTTTTCGTATTCTCCATTTGTGAAGCAAGGGACATTTCAATAATATATTATTATCATGATAACATAGAAATATGGAGAGAATTTTCGCTACATAATGGGACATTCCATCCGCTTCATCCAACTCTATAAAACTACAATTCTTTAATTCCACACACTTTAAAAATCTTTAGAACTTTGTCTTACTGTTGCCATTTATTTTTGTTAAATAATACAATCCAATTTATCACATTCATGTACTATTATTTATAAGTTGTCAGGAAATTAATTTTTACAATACGTGAGAATTCCTAATAAACGGTCATTATTTTAAGTCTTCTTTATATATAAAAGCGGCTTAAGTGTTTATCGCCGATAGTTTATTGTTGCCACTCGGAAAAATGAATGCGGAAATCAATGTTTCCGCAGTTTTTAATTAATATCTCGGCCGATTAAAGTCGTACGAAGATGAGAAAGATATCGATGGATTCGGAGACTTTTTTGGAATCCGAGGATACGCGTCTCGAATTTCCTCGGCGCCGTTCCGTAGATATTCGAGATCCATCTAATAGGAAAAATCCAAGAAAGAAAGCGGAAAATGTCGAGAAAACGTAGGGGAAAATAAGTTTTTAATTAATATCTCGGCTGATTAAAGTCGACGAATGGTCAAAGACGAATAGTCACAAAGACGCGAATGGTCAAAATGACGTACCACGGACCTGCGGAATCCAACAGTGTGCTTCGCTAAGCCCGGGAGCCGGCCGTTTCGGAGGAGATGATGTTACTTCACTCCATATATATATGCAGCTTAAGTGTCTGTTCGTCCCCAATAGTGTATTGGTTGCTTGCGTAACTGTACTAGCCAATGGGGTGAAGTTGCCACGGCACAGGGTTGCCGTTTCAATACAGATGTAGACAATTTCCTGTAAAACTTGCCTTTGCTATGACCATCCAAAGTCTCAGGGCCAAACTCTTAAGCGTGTTGGCGTTTTTTTACCTAAGCCTGCATTTGGACACGGTCAACTTTATGTTGCCTGTTCAAGAGTTCGTGGAAGAATGGACGTAAAATTAAAAATAATTGATGGTCCTCTGCAAGGCGAGCTTAAAAATGATGGAAAATGTTGTGTATAAAGAGATCTTTGACAAGTGAATTAACATTTTATTATTTAAATCACCTTTATTTATTGAGCTAGCGGTGGGCTCTTCAAAAATGTACCGCCAGTGGTTTCCTTCATTGCACTCTACTTTAAGCAAGTAGAAGGAATGGATGAAGGCCCGTGGGGCAGTAAGCAAAGGGGCGTCCTCGCCGCCTGCCCTGGAAAATTCAGTTTGAATTAGCAGACACCTTTGCACAAATAATTTTAATTACAATTTATAATATCTGGAACAGCGGTCATTTCAAATGACCTCCGGGCTTTATAGTATAATATATTTAATAAAAACAGCATATGTTTAGTTCCGATAAACAGGAACAAATAAGTAGGAATTGACTTTATTATGTGAAAAAAAAACTGTATTAACATCAAGTGTGATATACTTCTAGTTTAAAAAAATGTATTTGAACTTGACTGGATGAATAAAAAGGTATTTTATTAACGATTGAAAATTTGAACAAGATATAGGGAGAGTGTGAGCTAATAGTAGGAATTTAAAAAATGCTTTTTTGCCCTTCTTTAAGAGTATAACCCTCATTTCTGGTTATCCAAATCAAGATAATGTAAAAGAAAACGTCCCACAACTTAACCGAAGTCTGTTTAAATTCCAATAACTAAAAAGAAAAGAAACTGAATTAAAATGTTTATTGGAGTACTCATCGCACTTTTCAATTTTAAATTAATGGACAATAGTTATTCCTATTGAGGAGCTCAAGATCTCAAGTACTTAAAGCATTAAAGAGAGGACTTCTGTGTTTCCTTTTGCTTAATGCCTCATGTTTTTTAACGCGAAATTTTACGGCTCTTTTAGTTTGATCAATGTAAATTAAACCACACTGGCAAGGAATCCTGTAAATACCCCAGGAATTCATACCGGAATGGGGTCCTTTAAGTATGGAAGTGGGAATTTACTGATAGAGGAATAAACGACCCTAAAGTTAAATTTCTGTAAAATACGTGCAATTTTATAGCTAATTCATTCAGAAATTTCTGTCGTTTTAGGCGTATTTAGTGAAATGATTAATGGATGAAGGCATGATAAACAATGAAGAAAATTAAACTAACTTAACTAACGAATAATAAAGCTCAAACGATTGGACAAATTTCACAATGAATATGAATACAAAACAAAATATTTGCAACTAGCGAGCATGTGATCAGATAAGCAAGGCACAAAATCAAATATAAAAATTAAAATGTGTAAACCACAAATTAAACTTAAAAAATTGGAAAACACTTACTGAAACTCAATTACAAAATGGTGAACATACCACGTAAAAAAAAAGAAGCAAAATATAAGCATGTTTGGAGGTCCTAAATGTTGTGTTTAACGTAAATTATATCAGCAGTAGTTAAGGTTATAATGAGCTGGAATGTATATAATAGAAGTAATATGAAATCACATGTTTGGAAAGTGTCTTAAGTATTGAAAACATCTGCCACGTCCGGGTAGGTTGACGAAGAATCTGCGCAAAATACGTTTCAAGTAATAAATGCATGCGAAACAAAATGGATGGAATGCTAATACCAAAATGCGAATATAGATTGAATACACTAAATAAAAATAAAAATAATCAAGGGATTATAATTTACCAATAAATTGGCCCTCGGACGAGAAAACTATATACAGCAGAGGAAAGGACAAATTATTTGAATATTAAAAAAAAAAAAAAAAAATTAGAGCTAAGCTAAGGGAAAAATATACGAAGAAATGAGGTACATCTATTCATTCAGATTCAGCTATTGAGGATTTCAGTCTTACGCTTTAACATATACAGAATTCATTCATCAATCCACAGGATCCACAGGTCGGTTAGGTGTGAGGTTTCTTTTCTTAAATTAACATTTTATTGGGTGATTGCCACAATGTTGTGTCTAAATTACTATTTCGCTTGCTATTTAAACTCAAATTAATTTGAATCATGGTTAAGGTCAAGAGATGAAATAAAAGACACAGAAAATAACTGACATAAAAATAGCTTGTTTGCTTAAATAAACCTTATACGCTTTCTTCGAAAGCAAATATTTCATCTGATGGAACAATTTGTTAGCAATTCAAAAGAGGAACATTTTCGCCACACTAATTCACTAATTAAACTGCAAATTATTATGAGCTATGAACGCCAATTACAATTAAAAGAGGGATTAGATTCTGTATATGCATATATGTCCCGTTCTTTTGTAGAGGGAAGGGGGAATGAAGATTGACCCAGATCTGAAACTTTAAGTAAAAGTGAAAGTAACATGATTTTCATTTCAAAAAATTAAAATAAAATGAAATTTTTAAACTTTTGTAACGAAACTCACCTGACTAGCGATAAAAAGAATTTAATTCTTCGAGGAATTGTCACAAGGAACTCTTCATTCTTTATGGCTGTCAAGATGTTACTTGTAGCTTTTTCTGGGCTCAGTATTGGTAACAGGAATTGAAACCTGTAGAAAATAAATTTTGTGTTTATACTGTAAAGCGAATCTTTATTTATGGCAACAAAAGAAATGAGAGACATTTTGTAATGTTCTACTCTTAATATATTCACATTCTTTGTTGTAATATTTTATGACATATCTTGGACGAAACTTGTTCGAGGTGTTCGTTTCGCACATTTGTGTCTTGGCAAAATAGAACTTTTTACTTAAGAGAAATATCTGTTGCAAGTATGATGCGCAAGTGAGCTAGTAAAATAAATGCAAAGCTATGTCTTAAATAATTAAGTCTTCTTTATTAAACAGATGGCGAAGTTTTCGCTTGGCTTTAGTTTGCGATGAGATAATCTTATAGGAAATTTTTTTCCTCTTAGCATTTGAGTAGCTGAACTTAAATATAACACTTTATGCCTATATTTTTAATTTTTGGATGACTAAAATTAAACAGGTAGGCCTAGCATAAGTGCTTAAAATAAAATGTTTTCAGGTATTAACCTGAAATTTGCATCCTCTGCATTACTACTGCGACACTATTTCTCTCTTCTCGCTTAAACTTTCATCCTGTTAAGACGATTCTGCTATCATCTATGTTCACTTCCATTGCCATAGTATCAAAAATGTTCTGAAAATAGGCACGATTGGAGTGCCAAATGAATTGTGACCACAAAAGTGAATTTAAATAAATATGGAATTTAATCCGTCTCGACTATTTCTTCTTCAAAATGAATGGACGCTCTAATCATCAAGTATCTACGCCATCAGTATTTCTATGTTTTTACGTCTTAGTGTCCTTACATCAATGCTTCAGATTGGTATTTTCATTACATTTTTCGGCTAGTTCTAATTATGAAGAAATCTACACAGGTTTGCTAATCTATGTTCACAGGAATCATGGAAAAAGGTCCTATTTTACCGACAATTTTAATGCAAGTTTATACCGCATTCTTAATCAAATCATCCATATCGTGTCATCAAAACAGTTTCATTACACACACACACACACACATATATATATATATATATATATATACATACTCGAATATTTATTTATTTATATATGTATGAGTATATATGTAAGATAAAAAATATATAAATCAAAATTATAATTTAAACTAACCCCTAATTCCCTTTAATTCTCCCTCTCCGTTTTAAAAATCGTAATAACTTCTCTTGATTGCGCCATTTCTAGATCATTCGATTTTACATGGCCTGCGCAGCGCTGATGACATAATAATTGGGAACTGAAACTTTTAACTCAAACCGAAACCTTTGTCTTCGTGTGATTCCATCTTGCATAACTATGCACTTTAGTTAACTATAGTTTAACTATAACTTCTACACTGATTGGACGTAATTTCGCTGTGCTTGCTTGCTATCGTCATAGTATCAAAAATGTAAATATTCTGTGAATGGGCACGACTAGAGTGCCAAATGATTGTGGGCACAAATGTCAAGTGGAAATAAAAGTGGTAAAACTGCCCCGACTGCCAAGTTTCTTAGATATTACCAAGTTAACATATTACGGACGCATTGACACTGCTCGATCTTTTTCTTGCGTTTATTACACATATATATATATTGTGTTGGATATTGTGTAAGGATTGATACATATATATATATATATAACTGATAAATCGTATATAAAACTGACACATTTGAATACATACCTATATTTCCAATTACAAAACAAGTTTTTTAAAAATAAAATATAAGCATGTTTAGTATTTTCGAGCATTAAGCTGCTTGTGAAAAATTAGTTCTAAATTTCTTACTTTATGTCTTTACCTATATTTTTATATATAAGTCCTTTTCGGAAGTATGAGAATGCCTTACCTTGTAACGGGGTTTTCATTCATTCCAGTATTCACCGTTAGAGGGCAAATTGTCGTGAATTTTATATTGCTTTTTTTCAATCTCATTTCTTCGGACAAGCTCTCCATCATTCCCACAACGGCCCATTTAGAAGCTCTGAAAATTAATGAAAGAAAATAATAACGCTAGTTGCTGTCAATTTTAAAGCATATTTTCGTAACGTATTTGGAATTCCTTACAATAAAGGAACATTCTCACGCAAGTAATTCACTGACATTCACGTTTACATAATTAACATTCAAGTTTTACGTTCGTGATTAAGGCAAAAACTGCTTATCTTAAAACGAAAAGACGAAAAAGAGTGACATCACTGCCATCTGCTATCGTCATATGTATTTACTTTCTTAACGTCTTGTCTTAATCCACTCCTTGTTGACGTTTTTCACAAAATTTATAAAAAGAGAAATATGGAAGGGAAGAGCGTTCAAAAATATTAAGGATATACAGGATGATTATATAGGACCTATCATATACAGGATGAATTTCTAACATTATCAATTTTCTACCTACTTCTGCTTGACTTCAATACACTTAAGCACAACAATTGATTCCAGCAGGAATTCGTCAGAGGAAAAAAAAAATGGTTTTGTCACAGACCTTTAAATTATTTCTGAACTATACCCTACAGATCATCATCATTATAGCTGTAATGTGAACCGAGCAAGAACTGCTTCAATTTTTGAAGCAAAAATGATCTACGTGGACGAACCAAATCTAATGAATTATGGGGATGGAGAAGAATTCCGTATTGCTGGATAGCTATCTGGAAAATCTGAGCCTTACACTTCTCATTCAAAAGCAGCATCTTATTACTAAGTTTGCTTTGAAATTTTTCCTTTATGGTTTTTCAAAGTAGGGTTAGCAAGTTTGCATAAAGTTAGCATAATAAACACCTGCCATCATGATCGTTTGTGGCATGCAATCAATAAGCAGTGGTTCTTCTTTACCCTCTCGAAATATTCAGCATCTTCCTAGTAAATTTCTAGTTTCTGAACATGTGGGGCGGGTATATCTAATATGTTTACCACACACTATGCTCTATTGTTTCGTTTTGAGTCAGAGTATCAGACCCTGTTTCATCTCCTGACACATAGTCGAGAATAGGATTGTTTTGGGCTCTTATAATGGAGAACATTTACCAAAGATATTCGACATGAAGTTTGTTCATTTCTGGCGTCAGTAGTCTGAGTATCCATCTGGCTCCGACCTTCGACATACCCAGCTTTTCATGCAAACCCAGCACTGATGTATCGAAGCACGAGTCTTCGAAAATGTCCTTCGTTTATTTTCCATCACATATTCTTTGACTTTATTACACATTTCTTCAACGATCTCATCCACATTGGGACTGACCTGGGATCATCTTCAAATGATACTGTGTAAATATAGCAGCCTGGATTTGGATGTTGACACAGGAGCACACTGTATCACCATAATCTGTAGGTCGTTCTTGAATATTTGTATATGCTATGCCTTTCTTTTATCACGAAATGTCGATGTTCTAGAAGGATGTGTGATGGTTTAGTTTTATTAGATGTTAGTGACCGCAACATTTAGCAACTACTCAAAAATCAAATAATAATACATGCAATATATTATATAATAAATAATAATAATACTTGCAATATATTATATATAAATAATAATACTTGCAATATATTCTTATACATTTTCCAAAGGAAATATTATTATTTTTATTTTACCATGTTTTGTCATCATACAACTATTATATTACTTAGGATTAGAATTTATCGAACTCTCACTTGGATAAAATGTTACGTAACCTACTAAATCATAGCTTGGTAAATATTGCTAATAAAATATATGTTGAAAAAAAAAAAAAAAAAAAGACTAAAGTAAATAATAGCAATATTTTTTTGATAATTTTTTTAAATTTGTATAATTTAATTTTTCTGGAGATGAAATTAAAACTATTTTTCATCTAAGGCACTGCGAGCGAAATCATCAAAAAATGCATTGGCATTAGAATACTGTAACACATCAAAGTTATGCCGTAAGTAGGAACGACAAAAAAGCGCTTAAAGTTTGGGTTTAGCTAGGTTTTTGGTCTTTTGCTCTGAAGGCCTGAAAAATAAAATTTCATTACGGAAATAAAAATGGTTAACGACGCATAAGAGAGTCTTTAAGTTCCCATAACTATGTTTCTGGGAACGCTATATCAATGTTTTACTGCACAAACTAGTATATAAATGTGAATAGCCGGATTGCGACAACTCAATACGATTGTCTCCCAGTGAGATGGATGATGGAAGACAGGGAGAGAAGTCGTGTTTTCGACCAGGACGTAATGACTAGACGACGAAGATGTAACCTCTCAGTCATAACTCTTTTTTCATTTGTAAATAGTCACTAATGTATCTCCACCAACACCTAAATAAAGTAATTTAGCCACCTAGATGTGTATCGTCAGACTAGAAATTCCCTAGACGCCGAGTTTACATAAATTATAGCTGTATCACCGCGTGTAAGTTGATCAAAAGGGACTATGTTAGTTATTTAAACTTCTAAAATTTAGTATATTATACCCAAATGTGTTTTATGCGCCGTTTTTAGAAGAATTCCATTCAAATAAATATTATGCGTTGATTTTAAAGAATGACGGCCAAATATATTTTACGTATCATTTTTAGAAGAAATTCTAAAAATTCTCTAATCCCAAATTCATCAAGAGTTTACGACTGGCAAATTATAAACGAAGCAACTTTCATAGCTTAGTTAAATTATAGTTTTGAATTATATTTCATCCTTTATTCTGAAATTTTATCCGAGTGCGAACTCAAGGGAAGAATATATGTAAGGTCATTTTCATAGTTTTTTCCTTAGGTAACGCAAATACGAACCTTTCCTTACGAGGCCTTCCACTAAACCATATCTAGCATTAGACAGATAATCTTTGCGTGCTTTGCCAAAATTGATTAAACAAACTAACAGTCATTAACAATTTCAAATTTTAAAATCTTGCATCTGTATTTGTTAAAATTGCTGTGGTAAGAAAGAAAAAGTTCACTAATAGGCTTGGAAGATATAATAAGCTTTAAAGCTGACTACATATTATAGTCAATTAGTACAATATACCGATCTCTTAGCCCTGTCTAATGCCCAATAGTTGAGTGAAGCCAATGAAATCTGTACTACCACTGAATATCTCTTTCTTTAGTCGAGTGGTTGGACGAGACAGTCCTATCTCGTAATATTTCACAAATAGCTCATAGTATGCTTTGCAATAGCATGAATTAAGTGAAACTTTTCCATGACCTGAGATTTTAATACAAATCCAGGTTGGCAATTTGCAGAGAATCCGATTCGCTTCAGTAATTCAGTGTAGCTGTAAAGCTAACGAGGAGTCAAGCGACTTGAATTCATATAGATCTGTTGGATAAAAAAATGCAAGATCAGCACTTGAAGTCAGATTTTAATTGGAGCAGTATGGAAGTGTACGCTGGGAGCTAACATCTATATTGTAAAAATTTGAATTGTATCCCAGTGACTGCTGTATTTGTACAATTATCTTTTAACCAATCCGTTAAATGAGTAAATGATAAGGACTTAGCCCTTCCAAAACATTTATAAATCTAGGTTGTACACACATTTTTATGCTATTTTCATCGTATTTAGAGAAATATTTTACCTAAACTTTTTGTATTTTAAATGTTCCATTTGATAACCCTTATTCTTCTTTATCTTTCTACATCGTAGTTTTCAAGATAATAAAGCAAATTTTAGTAGCGGAAGAGGTATTTTATCTTGTTTCTCTTTCAAATGCCAAGGAGAGTCATATGTCGACGTTTGGACAATCCGCTTTTGGGTTTTGGATTGGATTTTGGAAATTTAATAGGGATATGAATAAAGATATCAAGAGATTTAATAGGGATGTGAATAAAGGGTATCGCCTTGATACACTTTTCTTCTTCCATTTTTTATGCAAATTAATAGTGGACTTTGACGTGCGACTGCTTGCTTTGTCTTAATGCAGTTCTACTGAGTGATGGTACTGCGGGTAAAGAGAAGCTACTTGATATTTGAAAATAATCCTGATAATATGTTGAGTTGACCTTGACAGTTTTCTGCACGCTCTTTAATTTTTATTTGTCGTTATATCAAAAAACAGCAACAATCACAAATTCCTTTGAAAAACTTTCTTTAGGTTCTTTGAAGATTTTTGCTTTTCTTCGATGATAATAAATGGATCAACTTTTATTGCGATCATTTAAATACACCCAAGATTCATCTATTGGGACAATATTTTTCTATTTTTCTCCGAATAATTGTTTCCGATACAGAATTCTGCAGCGCGTTCTGCTTTCGGCGATATGTCATGGAGAAAGACGATACACGTGACTTTTCTTCGCCTTTTTAAGATTAAAATTAGCATTAATCAATTTGCTTACAGTTGAAACTGACCATTTTAATGCTCACGCAATTGAATATTTTCTTTTAACATTAAAGATCTTACCTTTGCAACATTCGAAACATTCCGTTTTTTCCCCTTGGATACGTATTTTGAAAATTTTTTCTTCTTGAAGTCAAAATTTGACGTTTTTTCTTTTCTTGCTGACAATATTATCTGCGCTAAATACCGAAAAACATGACAGCATTTTTTAATAACTAAATAAAAATAATTTTCTTAGGAAAGAGCACAAACATAGCCTTCAGTCCATTCCTTCTTTAGAAGTGCTATTTTGCACGAAAACAAAATTGTCAAGTAGCAGACAATAATTTACACTTTCAAAAATATACTTGCAGTTAAATTTTTTTTTCCCCAAGCAGACGATTTTTTTTATGGCAAAGCAAAGTCGTCTAAAAATGTGCGAACAGCCTCTCTACATTCTAAATTAATTCCTGCTCTCAAACTTGGCGACTATTTGGCGACATTTGCGTCCGGTCCCTGTATCATCGTAATAAGTTCTGTAATTGAATAAATGTAATTGACCGCTATGTTAGCCGTAACCATAATTACACCCTCTTATTGCTTTCCAGTAATTCTGAGAAGTAGAAAGTACCGGCGGCCGGTTGAAAACCATATAAGGCCAGAAAGAGAGTATCTACTCTTAGTTATTTGTTTAGCAGTTGTTGTTATTGTTGCGAGTTTTTAATTCAGCATGAGATCGAATTAGCTTTCTCTTTAGATGAGCTTTGCATTACGTTGTGTTTAATATTCTTAGTAGTTTGAAGTGAAAATACTGATTGTACTGTGTGACACGAATATGTGTAAACATTAATTGTCATCGTTCACACTGATACACAATTTTCATTCTCAGTGTATCATTTCTGTCAACGTATAGGTGTGTATGTATCATTTTTATTGATGTATGTATAGCCCAGTAGAATAATGTATGATTATGTGTTTTCATTTATCGCCATCATTCGTATGTGCATATCATTTCTAGTAGTTTATGTATAGTCACACAGGATGACACACGATTACGTGTATTCATTGTCATCCTCTGCATTATTGCGCCAGTTGCGTCAGTGTTTCATTTCTTTTTAATGTATAAGTGTTTATTGTTTGCCTATCTCATTAACCACTTAGACCAATATACATATGTATCCAATGTACCTATACCACCAATGTACCTTTGTATGAAACTTTTAATTGTATACTGAAGCATATATATGCACACGCCCTTGTTTGGCCACGTCAATACCACATATTGTCCATTAATATATTCCCGATGCAGCCCTCTCAGGAAGTCGCCAGGGTTGTGTTGTTCTAAACAGGTGCGGGTACCGGACGACACCCGATTTGTCATATTAAGCTGTCCGTGTGTCCGGGCCCTGCATTCACCTGTCACCTGTCACCTGTGACTACTGGTACGGATATTTTTGCGGAAAATTCCAGAACTCTGAAATACTTCTTTTGATAAAAGTAAATTTTATTAATCCACAATCGGACCTATGTGCATTCAATCGATTACCAACCTGTACGCACGCAACATTATATATGTATATAATGAAATAAAAGGATTATAAACAAAACACTCTTACGAGTAGTCACTTTGATTCACGTGGCCCATCAATCCAGCACACGAAGAAATTGCGACAATGTGACCTTGATTTTTTTCTTCCATTCGTGGTAAAAATGCTCGAATTGTCTGAAAGAAATAGAAGTTTAAAAAAAGCTTTTATTAAAGTACTGTTCAGTGAAATTGAGCTACACTAATGTTTGTGAAAATTGCAACTCCACGAAGGTTGCGGTGGTAATAAGTTTCCTGGCGCAAAGTCTTAAACGTTATATGCGTCGAGCAACACCATGAAGGAGTTATGCAAATTGAATCAAACTTACAGGAAATGTAAACTGATATAAGACATGAAAATGATTAGAATTACTAAGCGATCGCATAGAGTGAGAACTGGCCTCTTGTTCCATGCATAAAGACAGTAAAATTGCGTTGAAATCTATTTATTGTCTTCTTGTCTGCGGTGAAAGGTTAATTAGTGGTCAATATGCCTCGTCAACAGCGGAGGGGGGCATGCCAACAAATAGCAGAAGCTCGAACGAGTTCGCATCGTCAGTGAGTGGACTTTCCTATCGAGAGAGTGGACTTTTCTATCGAGCATTCGCAGCCCGCACGCACTGTGATGCCACAGCAGTGATGCGTGTTTGGAAGAAATAGACAGAGGAGAAACAAAGGTGAAATCTTGGCAGTAGGGACGCAGTACCACAACGGCACCGGACGGCAGACACCTTATCTGCGTGGCCGTGTCGGATCGTACAGCGTCCTGTCGTGTGTTAGCACAACGTTGAAGCACGGCTATAGGTGTTGCGTTGTTTAGCTCCACGGTTCGTTACCGTCTGCTGCAGTATGAACTGCGTGAAAGGGTTCCTCTACGCAGCGTTCCCCTGTCGCTGAATCACAGACGCCTTCGACTTCAATGGGCACGGCAACACAGTGCGTAGCATTCCCTGTGGCAAAGAATTGTTCTCTCCAATGAATCTCGCTACAATCTGGAGTACAAAGATGGAAGAATACGCGTCAGACGTTACAGAGGAGAACGCCTGCTCTCACAGTGTGTTGCCCCACGTCATACCACGCAAACGACTGGTATTATGGTGAGGCGAGCTATTGGGTATAATTATCGATCCCAGCTAGTGCATATTGCGGGCAACCTCAACAGTAATCGCTCCATAAGGGAAGTTGTGGAGCAGAGGTCTTTCCCATTCTTCGACGCATTCTGAGCGCTGTATCTCAGCAGGAAAATGCCCGTGCACATGTTTCTCAGCACTTTCTGTGCACAAGCCTTCTTTAAAGCACAACAGGTGTTGCTTATTCCCCGGATATGTCGCCCATTGAGCATGTCTGGGATTTCATCGGTCAGCGACTCTCTTATACAGCTGGTGGGACACACACTAAAAGTGAACTCTTGCGTCAAGTCGAAGCCATATGGAATGCCATTTCCCAGGATTGCATTCAGAACCCGTAGGATTCAATGCCACGACATGTACAGGCTCTCATCGTTCAGCCTGGTGGACAAACAAAGTACTGCTTTCCGACGTTGGTTTTTTTTTTTTTTTTTTTTTTTTTTTTTTTTTTTTTTTTTTTTTTTTTTTTTTTTTTTGTCTTGTCTGATTAATTTGGCTGTTTATTTGTAATATGTGGAATAAATTTCACTCATTTTCGAGAATTCGTTTATGGTGTTGCATTTTTCACAAACATTAGCGTATTCTATGGTACTCTCGAAACTAATAATATTGTTTGTAAGACACATGAGTATGGGAACTCTTGATCGAACGTATGACTTCAGTATACTTCCTAATTTTCTATTCACAATTCACTCGACGTCAATACAGTAACTGCCGCTTATTAAAATTCACTTCCACCTCAAACGTATCTGAATTTATTAATCAGCTGAATAGATGGCGATTTGTGCATTGCAAATCATGATATTAATTTTAAACTTTTCAAGTATATTATTAATTAAAAACTAATTCAATAATGAATCATAAAATAATAATTAACATTATTCCTAAAATTAAACAATTAACACAATTTTGAATTAATTTTTTTTTTCATTTTATATAAAATATTTTTCTCGTGGAGTCAATAGGTTATTTTGATACAAGAGAATTTAAAAAAAGCAATATCCTCGCTGGGACTCGAACCTGTATCTCGAATACAAGCAGACCGTGCTACAATTACACAGGAAAGGCATGCTGGAAGGAGGGGGAAAATACTATATTCTTGATGACATTTTATGGAAGGAGGAGGAAAATACTATATTTTTGATGACATTTTATGTTAAAAAGAAGTCTAACTTTGTTTATTTCATGCAATTCAACAAGAGTTTCTCAAAAAATTTTTAATTTCACAAATTAGTCAGTAATTTTTTTTTATTAGTAACTTTGACTTCAAGAGATTTTATTAGAAATTGTAGTGCTTTTCTAGATTCGACTAATGATTTCATGTCATTTTCTGTATCACGTTCGATGTCAGTTTCTGTAGTTCTTTCAACACAATGCAGTTTTTATACACATTGTCTCAATATTGTTGTGAATTGATACGCATTTTAAAAATGAACCCACATAACTTCCCTCACTGATGCCTGAAACATTAGTTATAGTTTGCGATTTCTTTGAAGTTCCTTCTACATAAAAGCCCCGTTTTTGAAAACGGTTTTGAACTGATTTTAAGAGATTAACCCATTGCACGGACTATAATAGGCATGGCTTCTAACAGAAATATTGACTTACTTATCTCCTTCGAAGCGCTGCTTTTAGACAACATTCAGTTTTGTTCATCATTTACTGAACATCTTTTCTGTAATGACGTTTGAAAGCTTTTATAATACCTTAAAATTAAAGGAATGTTAGAAGTTATAAAAGAAGAAATATTAATGTTTTTCAGAAAGATATCAGAGGTACGTGTGCTACGCGGTTATCTAACTAATAAAGCTATTTTTATTTCCCTTTTCAGTTCCCTGTCCCATTTAAAAAGAAAAACAGTAACAATGGTTCTGTTCATCTATGAGCTCTTGTTGCTATGGTAAGTCAGAAGTAAATTTTGACTCCTTTTAAACATCTAGGTTTTCTGCTTTTGTCAGTTATCTGTGCTGTCTTCTTAATTATTAGATCCATATTGCACGCTAATAACACGGTAACTTATTCTTTCAAAGTTTTAAACCAACCGCTATGTTTCCTTTTAAATATTAATTAACGTATGTTCTGGTAATGTTCTGTCCCGCTGCTCAGCTTAAGTCTAAATTATAAATTTGGTCTAGCTTGTATTCATTTAGTAGCTCAAGTAAAATGCCTGTTATCAGCTGCATGGTTATCTGCTTCTTCCTTCTAACCAGGTAGTTTTTGTTGAAGATTGCTGGATTTCTGTTTTTCCAAATTTTGAGCCATTTGTTAGTTGACAAAAATTTTCTCTTAACGTTTGGCGAATTAGTGAAAAAAAGTTCTCGAAATAGAAATACAATTCTAAAATATGATACAGAAGAGTTAAACTGCTTTACTTCCGTTTTTACATATCTTCAGCGGTTGCCATTCACAAATTACAAAATTATAAATTTTAAGAGTTAAAGTTATTATAAAGTTAAAATAAGATACCAGTTAAGAGAATTTCATTCATTTCCTTCAATGAACTTTGAGTATTTATCTCTTATCCTTGTCTTCATCAAATTATTATTAATATTATAATTAAAACGCTTCTAATAGGATCAATCTAGAACACATAAGTACCAGAACCATTGAGTCGCGTCATTAAAACGATTGTAATAGGAATAAGGAATAGGGCCTAGAACAGGTAAGTATTTGAACCATTGAGAGTATCTTTCAGAGAAACTGATTTCTATCTATGAACTTTGATTATTTAACCATTATCCTTATCATTAGAATATTATAATACTGCAATTATTTAAATGATTATAATAGGTATTCAACACGTAAGTTCCTAAGCCCACTGAGTTCTTGGTTTGTCGACGGTCATCAGCATTTGAATAAAGATTGTTTCGCTTTTAACTTACCCAGAAATGAGCAAGTGCATTCACTTTAAAAGTCTGAACAATTTTCTCACTAGAAAGTTGAAGAAATGGCACGTTCTGCATTACTCCAGCATTATTTACCAGGATGGAAACGTCGCCTATTTCTGCTTGAACTTTCTTCGCCGTTCTATTTACATCATCCTCTGATGTGATGTCACAGACGTACCATGAGGCGTCCCCACCTATCTGTTTAATTTCATCTGCTGTCTGTCTCACTGTTTTCTGGGGGGAAAAAAGAGAAGAAAAATGCTGTTAAAAATTACAGCAATTTTCGGAACTCAAGAATCCATTCTGTTAAACAAAATTTTAAAATTTAGAAAGAATAAATGAAATTTTATATAATGCTGCATTTCACTGCATTTTCAATGCCATATAGTACTGGATTTCAGTGTATTTTTTCATAAATTCCATTTATCTGTGTTTTTGTTTTACTACATGGATATTTAACTCTTATGTATTTCGTATTAATCTCAAAAAGAATAATTTATATGTAGTACTTGCTGACTTAACAGGTTATACTGCAGCCGAAAACGTCAGAGGAAACAACCTAAGGGGAAAACATTATCGTAGGAAACATAGTGGGAGAAAAGAAACAAGTGTAGATTTTTTAATCAGACTATAAAAACTTAATTTCAATAAAATATTGAAATTTTGAATACCCATAAAATGTGAAAAAGGAAAATCAAAGTAAAATTAAATTCACGATTACGCTTTAAAAAAAGCAGTAATAGGCTTAGATATACGACCCTGAGTAGTACTATCAAAGTAGACTTAGTATCACAAAGTAGTCAGTTGTTGCAGTTTTAAAATGTATCCATTTATCGCTCATTTTCATAAAATAAGAAAATAAATAAAATAATAATAAAAAAATTAAAAACTACTTGGAAAATTAAAAACAATATTTTTTGTTATAATTTCTTGTTGTCCCTAAATCTGAAATAAAATTTTGTATTTCTTTGTTACATGTGTTGCAACATATTAATGGAATAAACTTAAAAGTACTCTTTTTTGCGCGCAATCAAATAAAAAACCCCACTTTCTTTGGTACGTATGTAATAGCATAATCACCTTAGCAGAAATCACCAAATTTTAAGAATGCGCCAAACATTGGTAACTAGAGCATAACAATTTGGTTAAATAAACGACATCCGCATTTTCGTATGGGTTCTTTTTGTTGCATTACAAGTTCCAACGGTTTCTAGAATAAAAATTTAGCATTTTTCGTTTTAAGTGAATTTTAAAATATACGTTTATAGCATTTTCCGGCAATGGAAGAAGTTGCCGTAAAATAATTAAAGAAACACAATATTTTGCCACAAATCGACAAACGGAAAAATCGCCTTGGACCTCTATACTTACGAATTAAAGCAACCACCTTGGGACAATATGGCGGTGCTTTACAGAACCTGATTCCTGATTTATTTGAGTATGGCATAGGATTCAGGGTTAACTGCCTAAAGCGTGGGATGCCTTGGAAGACTTTCTAAAGGAAACTGACTCATATACACGTTACACATGGGAAAAACCTAGAAAACGCCCATGTACTCTCTCGTCAAAATCTGAATCTCGAAGGAACAATCAGGATTCAGCTACACTAATGCTCGGCTGCTAGTGGGCTTCCTTTTATAGAGGAAAGACTAAAAATTACTTCTCAGGTGAAAGCTTTCGATTTACGCGAATTTTTACAAAAATATTGCCCAACTATTAATAGTTTTCGCAAACATTACCAACATATCAAAAGAAAAATCTTTTTTAAATGCAAATTTTAAATATTGAATAAGGATTGTATGATACATTAGAACAGAAAAACACATTTTTCGCTAAATCCTTCTTAATTTCCTAACGGTGTTTATCTTCCATGTACACAGTGATTTGTTTCAGCTTTAAAAAAATCAGATAATTCCACAAACTCGGCATTGCGCACAGGCTACCTAACACATTCGTCTCATCATTGTTCCCTTGAGCGTATTTGCGGAACGACATTGGGGCCCACCAGCGGCCGAGCGGTAAAGTTGCTGAACACTGGTAGTTCGGTCCGAGGTTCGAATCCCGCGAACGGGCTGGCTGCATGGGTGTTTTCGTGGTTTTCCCCGTGTGTATAGTGTATACGAGCCAGTTTCCCTTAGAAAGTTCTCCACGAAGGCATCCCTCCCCTTAGGCAGATAGCCCTAGTGTGCTTTGCCATAATCACACACACGCGGAACGACATTGTAATCCTGCAGAACATTTACCGCAGTTTTCCCTTCACTGACAGATTTCAAAAGTGATATTTTAAGAGCGACTTAAAGGAAAAAAAAATATCAAGATTTGTCTATAAAAACCGTTGGAACTTGGAATACAACAAAAAGGCGACGTTGCTTGACTGAAAGATTGTTACGATCATGGTTGCCTAAGGAATGTTTATATGCATGGTTGGCAGAGCTTGTAATGTTCTCAATATTTGATAGTTTCTACTAAGGTACTTGTGATAGTAAGTAAGTACATGAATCTCTTTTTAAAAGCTCTCTCCACAAAATTTCCATTAGAGCGAAAAAACAAAAACTTATAAAAAGCTTTATTGTTTTGATTTTCAGATAATTACCTAATTAAAAACGCAAAATTTGTGTGTATATATGTAAGACATATATTTTTTCAAATATAAGTCATTCTTTATCTTCCGTTAAAAATCGCCAAAATATAAGTCATCCTGCATTGTTTTCTTTTGAAATTCGCCAGATTATGCCGAGGAGGTACGTAAGTACACTTTCTTTTTAATATGTAATCTGAGCTTAATAATTTCTTCATGTATTTCTGTAAAGTTCTGAATAACTTTATTCAGGTTTTATTTTTTTAATTTTTCCTATTCCATTCAAATTATTTTTTAATCGAATAAACACATTCAGTTTAACATTTAAATAATTTTTCCCCACTTTCAGGCATATTTATTTTTATGATATTTCCCATATTAAGCTCCAAGCCTTCCATTATTTCGTACTTTATAGCACTTTAATTTTAATAGTATTAAATTAAATTAATCTTTTTATGTTTATTTGGCACCTTCTGAATTATTTCAAGAATTTATAATCATCCACGTATAATTCAGAAACATGGCTCTGTTGAAAATTCTAAGACCAAAGAGTTTTGAATAATTTGTTATATTATTTCTGTCATATTATTTTATAGTGTGTTGTTTCTTTTTTGCTTCAGTTTTGCTGTATTCACTTCCTGTTAGAACTGTTATTTCTTGATTGTCTTATATATCATAATCATCTTCTTAATAGTGAACGAGAAAAATAAATAATACTTTACCATAATTCACTTATCTCAGCTTAGAGTATTTTAAACTTGAAAATTAATTAATTTTAATCTCATTTATTTGTTTTTTGATGTTAACACTCGTATCATAACACTTGTATCAAGTAGTAGTATATCTTACATTTGGGTCCTTCAATTCGCATATGTTTCTAACTATATTGCAGAACTATAGATGGCGCCACAGTTAAAAATATTCTTTGATGTCATACTAAAATTTCTTAAAAACTATGAAGCAAAAAAGCAAAATTTATTAAAAAAAGTATTGAATGACCATTCAGTTTCAAAAAATAACTGTGTACATAAGTAATGCTTCTATTACATTGATACTGTAAATTTTTCTTCAATGCAAATAGATACCCCCTTTTTTTTTCTTGTCTTGAACGCTCGAAATTTAGGTACTGAATATTGTAATCCTGGCTAAAATAGACAACAATAACATAATTTGACAAAAAAAAAAAAAAAAAAAAGGAAGACAATTTTGATAAAGTTTTTTTATTAAAGAATGTCAAGTTTATGGCATTTTATAATGATTCTTATTAATAGAACTCTTGTAAAACCTTTTAGTACTGCTGACTATTTGTTCATCAATTAAGCGCGCGATTCCTACATTTCAAAACGAACGAAAACTTTAAACACGTTTAAAAATTTATAATAATCTAGGAATATTTTTTTTTTTTTTTTTTTTTTTTTTTGAGAAATGATAGTATTGCTGCCAATGAAAGATATAATGCCATACATTAAATACATGTTGTTTACACGCAGTGCCGAGTAGTCGATTCAGAATATTATATCAAGAATAGAAAATGTTTTTAAATAATCCATAATGTATCGAACGTATTCTTCTAATTGTATATTCTTATAATTGTAGATTGGCATCAACAAATACAGAAAATTCCTCATAATTGGTACCCAATTGACCGTCAGTATCAATATAACAGCACTTTTGAATGTCTAAAATAAAATGCGAGGAGATTATAAAAGTATGTAATGGGCTAACAAACTGAAGATTTCAATGATGACAATATATGTGTTACCTTTCTGTCGCTCAACAAGTCTTTTCGAGTTGAGAAATCAACTCATTATACAGTATGTAAAGATAAATTAATGATCCTTTTTATACGTACATGCGTAAATTCTAAAAGTAGTATTTATGATTTTCAGATACAATTCACATTGAAGGACGCCATATTTACGTTGTCTCTTCCCTTGAAAACAATAAAGAACATTATTTCAGACATCGTTGTTAGTGTAAATTGTGGCTTATGAGTATATTTGTAGATGATAGCCGGGTGAAAGTTTCTCTTTGTTTTAAAGCATGTCCGGCACCCGTGTCGTACATCACTTATTTAATTACATATTCGAAGAAGATTAGTGTTAGTGAAGCAGAGATGCAGGCTTGGATGAATGTGGACAATTTTGTTCCCGTCGCACTCTCTCAAGATGACAGCAAAATAATCAGACGCGTGCTGGAGAAGGAGAAAGATGATGAGGAGTAGGGAGAGAATGAAGATGAGGACGACACACAGAACAATACAGATGAGTGGAAGGAAGCTGACAAAGCATTAGAGACTTTCGTAAGATTCCAGAAATGGAATATAAAGAAATATTTATTAGAAATTTATCTATGGAACTTAATTATTTGCGCAGTGAATTTTTAAAACTACCGATACAACCTTATAAGCAGGCAGACATTTGAAGTTATATGGCATGATACGAAACAATTCATAGCTTTCATTTGATATTAAATGGGGTAATTTTAAAATGTTCAATTTTATTTTTCTGAAATACAAGATCATGTTATATGTTTGAGTAAACTGTGTAATTTTCGATTTTTTTTTTTAAAATTGGGGCAGCTAGATCAAAAACATTGCCGACTACATTCGTATGTTGCAATTTCTACATAATGGCATCTCTAAACATGAGCCAGT